CCAGCACCCCCCTTTCCCTCGGCTCTCTATAAACAAAAGCGCCTCAGTGTCTGCAGGAAGAAAAGTTGCATTATGCAAATGGGAAAAAGCGAACAGGAGATTTCTCACTCCGAGAACCCCCATTCCGGGCCTGCACCTCGGTTTCCATGGCATGGCCAAAGCCTGCTGGAGCCTGGTTTGCATACGGATGAGAGAGGAGATGAAATCAGCACGAAAGCCCATCGCTGACAGAACGCCATTGTTTAGCCTGTCTGATTTGGAGGCTAATGAAACGCCATTAAAAAGAAAGAAAGAAAGAAAGAATGAATGAATGAATGAAAGAGGGGGGAAAAAAAAAAAAAGAAAAGAGCCGCTTTCATCCTTGCTCTGGTCAGCAGCAGGAGGGGGGGGTCGGTGTGATGGTTGTGTGTACCATCGGGTTGGGGTGAAGGCATTCTGGGGAAGGAAATTCCCAGGATGCACTGCCCTGCAAGCAAGCAGGGCGATGCTGACAGGAGATGGAGCTGTGGGCAATGCTGGTGAAGAGCTGTGGGATATGCATTGAGCACATCCAGGTGCAAAATCCCCACAATGGCAGCAGAATCCTAAACCCTCCCATCCCGTTGCAAGGGTCTGGGCAGAGCTATGGTGCAGCTGGGAGAGTGGGCATGAGCTGAGCTCTGCCGACTGCAAGCTTTTGGGTTGCAGTGAGTAAAAAGCAAAGCAAGAGAGGCTCAGTGAGCAATGGTCAGCACCCTGTCACCTTCTGCTTGCTGGTGGAGGTGCGCATCACGTGCATCCCAAAGGATAACATAAAACAGATGGAGAGCCACGTGGGTTTGCCCCTGGCCCAGGAGTCTGGTAGCACCCTGAGATGGGACAGAATTGTGCCCAACCATGGGCAGCCCTTTGTCTCTTGCGCCCTGTCCTGCTGCCAGCAGCACATTGTCCCCTCTGCGCCCCTGAGAACGGCCCTGAAAGGCCTGATTGCTTCCCCCTGGCCCATTGAAATGCTGGGGATTGCAGCCTGTTCCCTCCTGGTGCTCGGGAAGCTGGCACCCTTTCCGCTTCGCTGCCCCGTGCCCCTCAGCTCAGGGCTCCTGCTGGGACTCTGCTGTCAACAGAGTTTTGTTCCCTTTCTGGGGCGGTGCAGAGGGGACACGAGGACTTTGGCAGTGGCAGCTCCTTTGACACTGCTATTCTGCTGCGACCTCCCGGGCTGAATAAACAGCTCACAAAAAATGGAGTTTACTGTATTTTCTACTCCGGGGGAAAACAGTGCATCTCGGTCCTAATTAATTGACCTAATTAACACTATCTTCATTTGGGGCTGTATGCAAAGACCCCTCTGTACTGGTCAGGATGGAGGAAAAGAATAAATAGGAATCAAATATATTGTGGCATCTCTCACCATGCCTGCAAAGGGACAGCATAGGAGCACACAGTGCTGCAGAGGGATGGTCCCCACCTCATCCCCTGTCTGCTTTGCAAAGGTTGCAGCATGAGGCTGCCTGCACCCAATGATGGGTGCAGCATGCAAGAAGGGATGAGGGACAGAGGCTGCAGAGAGATGCCTACTCAGCTCCTAAATTCAAGGCTTGGCTTCTCCTAGAGTCACCTACGGAGTCCATCCTGTATTCAGATTAATTTTTCTAGGGCTCACCCAGGTCCCAGGCAGCCCCTCCCTGGGGGGGGGATGGCACCTTGCACCTCTGCCCAAAGCCCTGCTCTGCTATTTTGCTCTTTTCCCTGCCAGATGCCAGCTCTCTTCAGCTTCTTTCTTCTCCCCATGCTTTGCTTTGCTGCATAGTTCCGGAAACGAGAAACAAAAGGAGAGGAAAGAAAATAGGCCGGATCGAAGAAGGGGGGAGTTTCCCTTCCGTTCAGCTTTTTGCAGCCTCACAATATGAGACAACGATGTGGCACCTCACATGACAGCGCTGTGCCCACGTGTGCAGCCACGTGATGGTGCCCAGCTCTGCCAAGGAGAGAGGCAGCGGGTCCAACCCAGAGCAGGGGGTGCAGGGGTGCTCCTCTCTGTGCCCCCAGTGCCAATGAAAGACATACGTCTGGGGTAAGGATCCCCAGCCCATGTGCTTGCAAGTGGTTTGGTTGAGATCTGTGCTTGCAGGTCAGAGTCTTTGTACTCGAAGCTCCCACCTCCAGAATACCCCAAAGGCTGCAAAATACAGGTGCTGGATGTCTGCCTCCCATCAGCCCATATTCCCCTTCAAACAAGGCTGCCAATGCAGGTTGAGGTACTCGTGCCATCAGAATCACGTGGTTTCTAGGCATTTTTGTTTTATAAAGGGAAATCCTCCATTACAAACTCCATAACCACCAGCCTCAGTGGCCAGCAAGCATCCCATAATTCATTTTACTTGTTGAAATCAAGCCACCACAAAGCCCTCTCGAGCCAAGCAAGGATAGCAGCTGCCAAATGCAAACCCGAGCAGTGAGAACAGAGCACAGTGTGCCACGCAGCCGTGGCAGGAGGGGATGCACAGCAGCAGCAACACGGGCTCCATGGCTCCAGCAGCATTTTGCATGCTTGCACTGCACCGTGCTGCCCTGCTGCAAACCTGGGCTGAGGGATATGAGGGTTGTGGGCCTGAGGTCTGCACTCCATCCTCTTCCTGGTGGTGTTGGACCGTGGAGCAGAGCGTGGACAGCTGCAAGGTTGGCACTGATGCTGCAAAGCAGTGTGCTGCAAACAGAGCTTCCCCTGTGCAGGACCAGGCAGAGGGGAGATGATTCCATCACCAGCAACCTGCTATTAGCAGCAGGTGCTTTGTCCACCCTGCTTCCAGCTGCTGCTAGAACTTGCAGTAATTCCCAGTGACCTCAATTTTGCAAATCATTTTTGGGATTTTTTTTTTCTCCTTTTTCCCCCTCCCATTTTACTCTATTTTTAATTTGTTGTTGTTTCCCTCCGAGCTGGAGTTTGTCATTTAATCAACTTAGACCCAGATAGCCCGGAGGGTGTTTGGGGAAGGGGGGGTGAGGGGAAGAATGGAAACGCTAATGTCACACCACCTCCCTAAAATGAGTTTTAATTGTAATCCTTTAATCCCTCTCAGATGGCCCTCTCTCCACTGATGTTTTTCATAATTATTCCTTGCCATTTTCCCATCGGTCTAAGGAGTGTCTTCAAGAGGGAGGGGGTGGAGAAAGGGCCCTTTTATAAAATAATAATAATGGGCCAAATTAAGACACAAAGAGGGAAATAACAAGGGGGCAAGGGCTGTGGAGACAGAATGGGGATTATTAATGCCTCCCCCCTCAGAAATTTCAGTGACGGTGCTCTCAGACACCCCAATCAGTGGGCAATTGAGGCTTGTTTGCTCGAGTGGCTGCACCCTCCTACAATGACCCACATTTAGCCAAGTGGTTGCATTGACGGAGTACCAGGTGTGAGGGATTGGGAAAGTGCCTGAAGGCAGCGTCTCGCCCGCCTGTGCCGTTCTGGGACCGTTCCCACCTGCCTGAGGAAATGCTCCCAAGGGCCTCGTGCCCTCTGCTGCCACCAGCCACCACCCCCTGGCCCCTCCAAAGTGAGCCCTAACTCATCCCTTGAGCTCACTCAAATGGAAACTTGCTAGAGGTTTCCTTCCCCCGCAGCAGCAGAGGAGGACCTGGCTGGGTGAGGAAGGTCAGAGGGCTCTTCTGGCCCAGGAGCCACCAACCCTCAGTGCTGGTGCCTCCAGCCCTCCATCAATTTCAGTACTGATGGTTCTGATGCTCTTCAGCACCCACTGCCAGGCTCCCCAGTCCCAAGGGATGGCAGGACAGCAAAATGATCTGTCTCATCACTCAAAAGCTCTGGGCCTCTGCTGCTGTGGCTTTGCAGCGATGGTGCTGGCGTGGGACCACGCCATGAAGCCTGGTGGAGGGAACACATAAGCCCAGTGAGAATTCAATGGATGCTTCTGAGCAGCTTGGAAAGTCCCTCAGGAAAGGGGGATGTGGGTCTCTAAGGACATGGGGGGGCTAGCTAAGGGGGGCTGAGCCTGGTGAGCGGGAGTGCACCGACCAGATCATAGTCATGGGCCACAGAGCTGCTCTGGTGAAGCAAAAAGGGATCCTTCACAAACTCAACTTCACTGAACTTAATCTGGAAGACCTCTTGTATAGGTCTGGTA